TACGTTCACTTAATCATAGACAAGAAAATAGAGCGTAAGTACTTACGTTCACTTAATCATAGACAAGAAAATAGAGCGTAAGTACTTACGTTCATTTAGTCACAGACAAGAAAATAGAGCGTAAGTACTTACGTTCACTTAATCATAGACAAGAAAATAGAGCGTAAGTACTTACGTTCACTTAATCATAGACAAGAAAATAGAGCGTAAGTACTTACGTTCACTTAGCGAGTTTTGAAAGTATGGCCCCCAGTAAAATTTCAGTAGAGTATAATAGAGGTAGGATAGGAGTTAATCACATCTGCAGCTGCACAGCACTACCTGTACCTTGCAATAGCAGCTCAAAACATCAATAGATAAATAGAATAAAAAATAATAATTGATACACATAACTTAACAATCATTGCTGTCTACTTACCTGCATATGGCAGAAGTTGCTGCAGAACTGCAAGATCATTTGCAATAACAGCACGATGAATAGCAGTGTAGCCTTGCTCATCAGTTGTCAAGAGACTCTGTGCAATAGCATCACTACAACCTGATATTAAGGCCATTGCTTTCTGAAATAAAATATTTTGGATATTGTTATTCAAAAGAACTACATATTTACACATATTTTTATAGAGAATATGAACACTACTAATGATCAAATAGGATAAACGCGGTATATTCCGACATCGTGGGTAAATCCAACACTTCTCAACTTTTCTCCTTTGTGTTAAGCTTTGTTTTAGTTCCACGCATTCGTTGATGGTTGAAATAGTGACGTCATACTATTGCACGCCATACTATTGCCAAAACACTAGGTAGTAGGTCTGGGCTGTCTGGCGGGAAAATGTTAAGATCCAAAGAGAGACCATGCACGTCACCCAGTGAGAACATCAAAAAACATGTCAAAGTTGATAGTTGATCTTGCTCTACCAAATAGTGATGAACCGTTTGTGTAGAAAGAATATTATGGTTTGAGACTTTTAAATAAGTCTGTGAATATATTAGGAATCCTTTAAGTATACTTGTATTTGCTGATTTCAAGTGGTAAATAAATTAAAAGATGACTAAGTTAAGCGACAGTTTTAGACACATAAAAACTAGTTCCGACACAGCTTGTAATTAGACACACACAGCTTGTTCCGACTTCTGAGCTGTGTCCAAAAATTAAAATTTTCTTAATTAAAAGCTTAATAGCTCTTAATTAAAAGCTTAATAAAAAAATTGAAATTTTTTAATAAAGCTTGTTCCAAGCTGTGCCATATTCCAATACAGCTCACACAGGGCATAGGATTTCCAACACAGGGCACCAGCATTACAAATTAATAGAGTTTGAAGCGCTGCTGGAATTAGTTTCACAATGTGCCGAATTTAGTCACACACAGCATCGGAATTCAGGGACTTCGCAGGTTTGAATTCTGAAGGCTTTTAAAAAAATATGGCAACAGTTTGTGACGTTTCATCATTGCTGGCAAGTGGTTTGGTGTTTTTAGAGTGACATAAAGCAATGAGAACTTGAGTTGCGCATACGGCGATATTTTTATAGCCATTCATTTCTTGCTAGTACGTCCTTAATGTGTCAGAATATAATGCATTTACTGGTTAACCCTATACAAGATATATGATGAAAAAACTAATGAAAATTTGGGTGCTTGAATGCTGCATTCACTTTTATCATATATTTGTATTGCCTACACACACTGACACACATACGCAATTAACCCAGAAAAACAAAATTGAAATGTAAAAAAAAGGAAAGCTTAAGGGGAGTGGCTACCCTAAAATTTTGGATTTTGGCTTTACTGCTTTTTAGTCTCATCTTAAAGCTGACATTCTGGCCTATCCATCTATGTATGATGATTTATGCATTCACAACATATTGAGAAAGGGTTGGGAGTGGTGGAGTTCTTTAACATTTAAGAAAGGCCAAAATTACCGGCAGTCCATTTAAATAGCTTGTCTGAACATGTTGTGCTTCAGTTATCCGCCTCAGGACCGCCTGCAGTTGTACAGGATAGTTATTAGCTCTCAGACTCATGCAGTCATGCCGCCGCTCACACCATCCTTGACAGAATTGAGCTCCAGTATCGTCTAGGCTTGCAACCTTGCACCCTTCAACATCTTTTTCGAGACGCGCACAACTTTGTCAGGCTCTACTGAAAAGTTAACTTATTGTCACTGCAAACCTCCTACAGTTTTAAAGCTACAACAATCAACAATGAGACATCTACCGCTTGACTTGCAAAAAAATATATCTACAATTCATAGTACCTACCTTAGCTACCTACAAGTTTTTCTAATTTCGTTATAGTTCAGATTTGGATTCCGCAAAAAGGACAGTGTGGGGGGGTAAAATAAAAAAATTTCCAAAAAATGCCCCACACAGCCACATCCACAAAAATGAGAATTTAAAAAAGCATGCACTATGAATTATATGGTCTTTACCCAATACCCATCAAATGATATGTGTCTCAAATTCTCGATGTTCTAACTTAAAAATCCTAAGAAGAGATCAGATCATCAGATACCTAGATTTCTACACCTACGGTACCCCATTTTTGGTCGTTTTCTAAGAATTTCAAGTTTTCTTTCATTTTTTTTTAATCCACATGAACAAAAAAGTCTTAGAATTCTTTTTTACATATACATACCAAGTTTCAAAGTGATCCGTCTGTAAATAGGCTAACCAAGATAAAATTTGGGGTAGACGCTCCCCTCAACACCTGAGTTGAACTCGCCACTTCATGACTTCACTTCAAAAATAGGTACTTCTGCTAATTCCGTAAGCCCTGGTGAATTAGAATCCATGTTCTTATCCTACACCGCGTATTTCTTGTGAAGTTAAATAAATAATCCTATTTCCCAAAAAATCAAAAATTTTAATACTATTTCCAATGATCACGATTTCTTTATACAAGATTATTTCACGAACGAAACACACCATACGTCTTACCACTTCGACGATTCAACCGGTTCTCCTGGGCCGGGCTGACTGGCTGAGGGCTCTGATGGAGAAAAGGGAAGGCGTCAAGGCGTCTTCCTGAGGGAACCGCCAAATTTCAAGTAACCCGGAACGCGGATGTCGACACTAAATAACATGGTTGAACTAGTATATAATTCAACCATGCTAAATAATATTCGTTTAAAAATTACCATTCAAGGAAAACACTTTTATATAATCCAGTGTCTCCGATGTTAAACATGTACGATGAATTTCAAATTTTGTTTAAATACTAAACACTTTAATTTTTTGTAACATATATTAATAAAAATATCATTTTCAAATTTATTTAATCTGTCAATTGATTCATGCATTGTCTCTAAATTTACGTAAGAGTGAGGTCGCATGCCGAAGACCACAACTGTCCTGGATGTAATGGACCATCATGATTCCTGCCTTCCGGAACGTAGCCTTCAACACTTCAAGCCGTCCGTATCTAGGCCGTGGTAGAAGCCGGCCGTAACCTCAGCAACAACTTTTTCCCTCTAGATCTACATGTGTGAGCTCCCTGTTAAGTCCGTGAATACAGAGGAAGAAGATATCAAGTCCGCTGCATAGAATATAAAACAACCCTCGGCCGATTTTGGCATCAAAAAGTACCTGGTACAACTGAGTTCAGAGGTGCGGACTGCAGTACCTCAGTGCTCTGGTAGACCACTGCACGAGGGTGCGTTACTACAACCATGCTACTCTTAAGTCATTGCAACGGATGCTCCTTCTCCCGGCGCAGTAAAAAAAGTAAAAAATACAACTCAGTACTCACTGCAGTGAGTGACAGAGAGCGTATTTTCTCGTCGACGAAAACTTGAGAGGTCACGAACGGACGGACAGACAGACAGACGGACAAGGCGAGCACAATAGTGCATTTTTTCCATAAATGAGAAAATGCGCTAAAAAGATGCCTACAGACGCCATGTTCTGAGACAGTTGACTGAGTTGAGAAATCATGAAATTTAAATAAAAATAGATGAGTTACAGGTGCACAAATACCCCACAAACCTTTTTTTCTGAATAATGGCAGCAACTTCAAAACGAGGGGAATTCTACAAATATCTGTCATGTTTAACAAGCCATTCAGCATGTTAAGACTGCTCTGTGAATGCTCCTCTTCTAAATGCCTGCAAGAAAGCCAGGAATAAATAAAAATAGAAGCTTTCTTATGGCTGGGAATCACAAAGCTCAATAATTCACTCATTCACTGCCTAGATCCCAGAATGCAGTTGTTTAGCTCAAAATTCTTATGAAAAATTCCATGACTGTAATGTTATTCCTAGCCAATTTCACGTGATATTACCAAAAAAATAATTATAATAATGATGAGAACATCCCAATTTCACGTGATATTACCAAAAAAATAATTATAATAATGATGAGAACATCATTAGGTCTCCAGCGACTAGGAATATTTTTCGACAGCGTGTCGGAACACTAAATGAATGAAAGCACTGACACAAATAAAAAGTTACACATACACGTCAAGCATTACAATTGCTATATTATGTAACATTCCCTTAACCTGACATTTACTGTCCATCTGATTTATGACTTGTCCAATTGTCTGCACTCAACATAACAACATAAACTATACTTACGTAAATCTGCAGTAGCGCTTGTGGCCTAACATAAAACATACTTACGTAAATCTGTTGGAGAACCCAAGATTCGATAATCTCCACCTTTCAATAGGCAGGCCATAGCGCTCCGCTATATCAAGGATAAGCTTCAGCGATTCCAGTCTGGAAAAGTAATAATATTTCTAATCTTTCAATAGAATTGGACGTCTCAATACTCAATGGTGGTGGCACTTAAGACGTTGATTCAGTTAATTTTACAAGATTTTCAAGTGAAATTGCTTTGTGAGTTTAAATCCACGAATTAGCAATGCAATGTAAGAAAATGGCCTACAGACAATATTAGACAAGGCCAACTGATTACAATCTAAACATAATTAGAGACAATATCAGAACTAAATGACAAGTATTAGGGGTTTCTTGGTTTGATTCTTACCTATCTACTTCACACACACAATCCAGAGAAACATCCCACTTATCAATGGTTTGAAATAGGTAGGTGCACTGGCCGATTCCAAGCAACATGAATTTTCGTATCCATCAATTTTATTCATGCAAAAATTTGGCATACCTAATTGAATTATAAAGTCAATGCATATGGCCACTAAAGGGTAGGTATCCAGATCAACCAAATAATAATTTGACTTACTGCATATCTGATGAACTTTGAGTTTTTGGAGATCCGATCAAACCGCACTGTTCATCACACCTTCCCGATACCGAGAGCTCGGGGCAGAATCTGAAAAAATATAACTCAGTACTCACTGCAGTGAGTGACCGAGAGCGCATTTTCTCGTCGACGAAAACTTGAGGTCACGGACGGACGGACAGACAGACAGACGGACATGGCAAGCACAATAGTGCATTTTTTCCATAAATGAGAAAATGCGCTAAAAAGGACAAATTCAAGTATCTTTAACTTTGTTTGGACATTGAATAGTAGTTATATATACTCCTGTATACTATTGTATAGTAGTTAGGCCAAACAAAACTTATGAGAGATATCGATACTATTTAATGATATATCACTGTACGGCGGGAAATGTTCAAAATAATTTGTTCTAAGACCAATATAGCTTCAGAAGTACCAACGTGAAACATATCAGGAAAAGGTTGATCAACAGGTTATTCTTCTCCTTTTCGTTCCTGCAGATGTTCTCCGTCAAGGCGGCTATGTACCTGACGAGAATAATATTGCTGTTATTATATTGAATATGAAAAAAGAGGTTAACTAAAATCTAATATTCTTTAATGAAAATTATGACAATACTTTGATGTAATACCTAATAATCTTTCTTATCCACAGAAAAGATCACCCGTACAAGAATTATTTTTATCATGTCCAAGGGGTAATTTGCCAATGTCCAACAACTGGAGCGGGAATTTAAAACCTTTATAGATAATTTAAATATGACCCTGAAACTCAATGTACGGTATAGTCTCAAATTTAGCTTAACAAAACAGGCATTCATATTAGTGCATCACATTCATTTGTCAGAATGATTTACACAACAATATCCTCTAAATGAGGATATCACAACAATATCCTCTTACACAACAATATCCTCTAAACTTACTTCATTTTAGGATTCCAATCAGCAACTGTGTGCCACCAAAGAGTGAAATTGATGAAGTGAAGTATGTCGGATTCAGGCAGTTTGAAATTATCCAGCAGGTAAATTGCACTGTCATGGTGCCCTAGTAACAAAATTTCGAACAGCAGTTTCATTGTGACAAACCCTCTGGAACAGAAATTCATTTTAGAAGTCTTATGAGAATGTCAACGTTGTTCTGGGAGGCAGATATGTACTCATCACACAATTAATGCAGAAAAAGCTCATGCAAACAATTTATACAGATGTTTTATATCCTCCTCTTCTGATCACAATAGGAGGATATCAAAATGAATGTCATATTGAGATATGATATACGTAATGATAAAGAAGCTCAAGTCTTCAATAATAAAGGTAAAAATCTTGATGGAGATGGTCTTGAAAAATTCAACGGCATTTAGTGGGAAATAAAATAACCAAACAATAAATTATGTATGTTACGTACAAGACCAAACTTGGGGTCAGAAAACAAAAAAAATGCAAAGAATCACAGACCAAAAAGTGGAAATTCACGGGAGAAATCCAAAAATGGCCAAATTAAATATTGTTCACTATCTGCAAAATGTCTGCCAAGCAAAGAAACGTATAATAATTGTATTTAATTAAAAATGTACCAAGTTAAACAAAAAGTGGCTCGTACCCTGGCTAAGTATGTGGCTGGCCGCTGGCTGTGCTCAACATCCATGGCCTTGGCATCTGCCCCAGCATCCAGCAGTAGCTCAGCGCCCCGCCACCAACGCTTCTCCAACGCTGCAAAACACGCATCTAGTAAAAAGCTGCTACTTCCTCTGTAGGCGCATTTTACTTACTTGGCCCAATTTGTCCAGAATAATTTGAGCAGAAATGATTAATTATCTTTGTAACAAATTTCATAGAATTGTACAAGTAACTAAAACACCACTCTTGTTTTCGGATATGTATATGTTCTTTCATTTTCAGGAATTACAAAATTCAGCAGTGGATTAAAGGGTTTCCTTAAATCATTACAACTATATATCTACTCTAAAAAAACAGGGCTCGTACTAATATTTAGAAATAAAATTCCATGACTTTTCCATGACCTGGTTTGAGTAATCTTTGAATGTTAACTGAAAAAAGAGTAGTCAGCACAGCAGAACCAAATTTTGCCAGAACATGCACAAGATGTGTATCAAACCTATGCATCCACTTGTATATTTATTTGATCTTACAATTTTATTATGAATACACTTTTTTCCGCTGGTTCCAAGTGGAACCACTCAGCATTAATGGGTTTGGATTAACACACGCAGCACAGAAAAACACTTCCTTTTTTTCTTCATTTATTTGCAAATTCCATGACTTTCTATTTGCAAATTCCATGACAAAATGAAAAATCAAATTCCACCACTTTCCAGGTTTTACATGACTGGTATGCACCCTGAAAAAAGCTAACATTCAGTAAAATCTCAAAGAAATACCAGCCATAAGATAAATACCACACAATAAGGGCAGGGAAGCAGGATCAGTAAAATCTCAAACAAATACCAGCCATAAGATAAATACCACACAATAAGGGCAGGGAGACAGGATCAGGTTGAGGCAGGTTGGGATCAGCACCGGCAGCAAGGAGGCTCACTAGGATCTCTTCCTGGAAGAAAATGCAAAAAAAAAGCTAAATTAATGCCAATGCATTGGGAAAGGATAAAAATTAAAGCTTGATATATAATAATATGCGTTTAAAAATTGCTTTTTAAAGACAACACTTCTGAACAATCCAGTATCTTGGATGTTACACATGTACAATGAATTTCTAATTTCATTTTCAAAAATTGAAAAAAAAAAATTATTCTTCAAATTTTTATAAGATATCAAAATTTTGTAAATTTTAAAAATTATTTATTCTATCAATTGATTCATGCATTGTCTCCGACTTTACGCAAGTGTGCCAAATTTCAAATCGATTGGGCAGGTAGAAGTGTGTTAAATATTGATTATAAGATTTGTAGCTGACAGACAAACAAGAAGTGAAGTTAAAGAGAAGTGTTGTAAAAATGAAATCTAAGGTGTCTGCAAATGAACAGCATAAATATGAAAAATAAGAAAATGGCATGCAAGCATGTTATAAATTGAAATGATTCAACTTGTTTTTTAATTAGAAATGTGATTATGGGTTTGTGAAATGGAAGCTGAAGCAATGAACTGTAAATAAAATTTCTGTACATCATAAATGAAGTTTATTTTCCCATCAACATGTAAAAGCTTTTAATTGCTAATAGTTTAACCTTGAATGTCACACATTATAATTCATAATAAATGCATGAAATAGTAACCTGCATTTGCCGCTTTTCTGCCTGGAACCCTGGATACGTTAATCTCTTACAGAGAAGTAGGAGTGCAGTAGATCGATCATTGCTCTCCCTGTTGATGTACTCTCTATCTGAAATGAACAACAATGCTTGGTAATGTATCAACTATTTTTTATATATACCTTCAACTGGGGTGACTTTGGCCGCCAGGGTGACTTCGGCCGCGTTTTTTATTTTGTTTACAAACAAAAACGGGGTCGTAAATGCCGGGGTCATAAACGCCAGGGTCGTAAACGAGGTCATAAACGCCGGAGTGACTTTGGCCATCATTTATGACCCCGCTTTTGTTTGCAAAATAAAAATATCAGGGGTGCAGAATAACCAAAAGTGCATAACATATGGACTTGCAAGAATCTCGTCTCATTAACTTTTACTCTGCTTAAATATTACACCAAGGGAAACAAGATACATGATTAATAAGATGCACATGACACTCGAAAGATAATGAAATAAAACATGACATACATTAAGGTACAATTGTAAATGAATGATTCTACTATATAATATAGCTAATGTTCTGCGGCCCTCTTCAATGGTATGCAAGCATGTTATAAATTGAAATGATTCAACTTGTTTTTTAATTAGAAATGTGATTATGGGATTGTGAAATGGAAGCTGAAGCAAGGAACTGTAAATAAAATTTCTGTACATCATAAATGAAGTTTATTTTCCCATCAACATGTAAAAGCTTTTTATTGCTAATAGTTGAACCTTAAATGTCACACAATATAATTCATAATAAATGCATGAAATGGTAACCTGCATTTGCCGACAAGGCTTTTCTGCCTGGAACCCTGGATACATTAATCTTTTACAGAGGAGCAGGAGTGCGGTAGATCGATCATTGCTCTCCCTGTTGATGTACTCTCTATCTGAAATGAACAACAATGCTAGGTAATGTATCAATTATTTTTTATATATATTCTCGTGATAATTTAGTGTAATATAAAAATGTCTGTTTAGTTCTCCACCACATGCAAAAAATAAAAGTGACAATGAACAACATAAATTTAAAGGTCTGAATTAATCAAAAGGTTGTTCAAACTAGAACACTTTTCGAGCAACATTTATCACATTTTGGAGCTAAAGACTAGTTATCATGAGTGTCGAGAGCTAGGAGTAATATTTTTTTAAACATATTTCATTCATCTGCATTAACTGGAAGGAAACTTCATAAGGAAAATGCAGCAGCTAACAAGTCAGATGCAGCACTAGCTTTTAAAATATATGTTGAAAGTGTGAAAAATGACAACAGCAGCAGAGACCAAACAATAACTGCACATACTCTAAGATAAATTATGCTTGATTAAACTAACACTTTAAACTTTCCACCCCATACAGAATATCGTGCCCATCTGTAGAATAAGTCTCAAAGCTTGACTTAGGCACAGTTGCACTGGTGAGAGGAAGATAGTTTTGAATGTTTACCATACAGCACTGGTGATTGTTTCTGTTTTTCTTGTTTACTTTTGCATACAGTTGAGAGGAAGATAGTTTTGATTGTTTACCATACAGCACTGGTGATTGTTTCTGTTTTTCTTGTTTACTTTTGCATACAGTTGTTCATTTTTGCCCACTATTGATTACTGGCCTGAGTTTTGCACAACAAATTAGTTTCTACTTATTATTCTATCAAAGTTAACATTATTTTATGAGAGTAGATATTAGATCAATGATAACACAATTATTTATCATTACTCTCTCCTAAACCTTTATTTTCAGGCATACCATATTAGTTTTGCTTAACCTGAAATTGTTTGAAGTTTTTCAATATTATTCTATCCCTGTCTGTAACATTCCATTGAGATTCATTTGAGAAAATCACTGCCATGAGGTTCAAATTAAAAAATAAGCTGCCAGTGCCTTCAGCTGAATGCTTTTTTCAAGGGGTTAGTTTTTTTGTCTGAGTTTCAGGGTTGGCGATTTTTTTGATTTTTTTTTAAAAAATCAAAAAAATAAAAAATCAATGATTTTTTGATTTTTTCATGATTTTTTTGATATATTTGATTTTTTTTATTTTTTCAGCTTTTTTGTATTTTTGAGGTGTTATTTTTTATGTTGCAATTAGCCTACTAACAATAACAGTATATGGATCATAATGGATGGCTAAAAAGGGCACTTATTGCCTTCAATAATGGCCAACAGGCCAAGGTAGTGTTTACCACTTAGGGATTTTTGGGTGAACAATTATTGATAAGTCTATTCATTAGACTTTGTAAAGTTTGTATGGAGCAGGGTAATGAGCTAAATATTGGCCATTTAACTGGCTTCAATATATAAAAACACTTCAGGAATGCAGATCTCCTAAACATTGAAGAGTCACATAACAGATAGGTAGCTGATAGCACAGTGCACAGCACTATCAATAGATCTACTAGTTTTATGTCCTATAAATCTACCAGACTCTACCCTCTGTACACACCGACTAGTAGGGACTGAGTCACTGACTGCGCTGTTCCCATTTAATTCAGACCAATAAAACAATACTAAACAAACTGAATGATAACCAAACAAACCTCATACGACTTGAAACGAGACTTAAGTTATGAGAAAAGCTAACACTGTTTGAAATAAACATGTGCACAATTCAAATATTTTATAGCCATTCACTGCATTTAATTATTTATATATAGTCTTATAATTGTAATTATTTGTTTCTAGTTTCAAATTCACATATTTAAAGATTGAAATTAAATATTTTAATTAGCATACTCGTATTAGAGTGGAAAATCTTTCTAATTGCCAAAACGGTCAATACAATGTCAACCTCTCAATATACAGGGTAGAGCAGAACCAATTGAGCAGTTTTGAGGTAAAATAATAGAGTAATGGAGGTACATAAAGAAGAAAGTTTATTTTCCTAGAGGTTAGCATAACATACCATTTAGAATACTTATGTTTTGAAAACAATATCTGGAAGATGTGGGTCATTAGCTGCAACACACTGTTGGAGTCGTTCTCAGAGGAGGGAGTAACCGTAACAGTGAATTCTAATCGCTATGCTGCAAAATTTCTTACAGCCCATGATGGAAAACATTGTTGAAAATGAAGCATTGAGAAACTTGTTGTTCCAGCAGGATGGGGCTACAGCTCACACAGCTCGAATGTCACTCAATGTTTTATATTGCATGATTCCTGTAGGTCTGGTGTCTCTGAGGGGTGATTTATAGTGGCCTGTTAGGTCACCTGATTTGAGCATTTGCGATTTCTTTCTTTGGGGACATCTAAAAGGAAGGGGTTCAGAAGTCACCCTCACACCCTACCACAGCTAAGGGAACATTATTGCAGCAGAGGTTATGGCCATATGGCCCATACCTCGTCATATGTGTGAACGTGCTGTTGGAAACTTCCGAGAACAACTCCCAACAGTGTGATGCAGCTAACAAACCCCATCTTCCTGATATTGTTTTCAAAACATGAGTATTTTAAATGGTATGTTATGCTAATCATGAGGAAAATAAACTTTCTTCTTTATGTACCTCCATTACTCTTTTATTTTGCCCTAAAACTGTTCAATCAGTTCTGCTCCACCCTGTATAAGCTAGCTAACATATTTAAATTGTATATTGTAATCAATATATAACAAATAGTCAAATAGTTAGACTACTTATAGCCTTATAAGAATTAGCTAAGCTGCTAGCTACGTACAATTTATTGCACTCTTGATGCCTCTGTACCAAAAACATTCCATTTATTGGAACCTAATACACACTAAAGGCAACAAGTTTATATACCAATTTGTCATTCAAGTACATTTATTCTAAAGCATGAATAACAATACCTCAATATAAATTAAAGACTGCCACTCAATATTTTTAAATATATGAAAAAATCAAAAAAATCGAAAAAATCAAAAAAATCATGATTTTTTTATAAAAAAAATCAAGTGATTTAATCACATGATTTAATCATTTTGATTTAATCATTGCCAACCCTGCTGAGTTTACAGCCCATTCGCCCCATGGTCCTTTTATAATGAATAATGATAATAACCTGTTGTAGTTCTAACAACCTAACTTTATCTTAATTTAAATTAACTTAAGACTTCATATTTCTGCATTGATATTACTCCTGAGTCAATTCTTATGTGTCTGTTCTTACAGACACATAAGAATTGACCCATTACATTATATTATGAGTATGTGTTACTTTGGTCACATACTCATAATTTAATATTTATTATTCAATTGGACAAATATTTCAAGGAGCCTTCAATTCCAGTAAAATTTCAGTAGAGTATAATAGAGGTAGGATATGAGTTTATCACGTCTGCAGCTGGACAGCACTACTTGTACCTGTACCTTGCAATAGCAGCTCAAAGCATCAATAGATAAATAGAATAAAAAATAATAATTGATACACATGACTTGATGATCATTGCTGTCTACTTACCTGCATATGGCAGAAGTTGCTGCAGAACTGCAAGATCATTTGCAATAACAGCACGATGAATAGCCGTGTAGCCTTGCTCATCAGTTGTCAAGAGACTCTGTGCAATAGCATCACTACAACCTGATATTAAGGCCATTGCTTTCTGAAATAGAATATTTTGGATATTGCTATTCAAAAGAACTACATATTTATACATATTTTTATAGAGAATATGAACACTACTAATGATCAAATAGGATAAACGCGGTATATTCCGACATTGTGGGTAATTCCGACACTTCTCAACTTTTCTCCTTTATATTAAGCTTCGTCTTAGTTCCACGCATTTGTTGATGGTTGAAATAGTGACGTCATACTATTGCACGCCATACTATTGCCAAAACACTAGGTCTGGGCCGTCTGGCAGGAAAATGTTAAGATCCAAAGAGAGACAGTGCAAGTCACCCAGTGAGAACATCAAAAAAACATGTCAAAGTTTATAGTTGATCTTGCTCTACCAAATACTGATGAACTGTTTGTGTAGAAAGAATATTATGGTTTGAGACTTTTAAATAAGTCTGTGAATATATTAGGAATCCTTTAAGTATACTTGTATTTACTGATTTCAAGTCATAAATAAATTAGAAAATGATTAAGTTAAGCAACAGTTTCAGACACATAAAAACTAGTTCCGACACAGCTTGGAATTAGAAACACACAGCTCGTTCCGACTTCTGAGCTGTGTCCAAAAATTCAAATTTTCTTAATTAAAAGCTTAATAGCTCTTAATTAAAAGCTTAATAGCTATTAATTAAAAGCTTAATTAAAAAATTGAAATTTTTTAATTAAGCTTATTCCGAGCTGTGCCATATTCCAATACAGCTCACACAGGGCCTAGGAATTCCAACACAGGGCACCGAAATTACAAATTAATAGAGTTTGAAGCACTGCCGGAATTAGTTTGACAATGTGCCGAATTTAGTCACACACAGCGTCGGAATTCAGGGACCTTGTGGGTTTGAATTCTGAAGGCTTTCATCCCTTAAATGCACCACATATCAAAAATGATACAAACCAAATTTTCGCCTATAAATGCTAAAGTAATCAAACTATTTGCCTGAGGCACATCTAGTATCAAGTATGATACATACGCAATCGAACGAGAACAAAACGAGTTACATCGGTGTTGTGTTGTGCGGTAAACATGAACGCCAGTGAGCAACAAGGCATGGTCGATGGATGTGTGCGGAAGCCCCATATTTCTTGGTTCATTCTGGCTTCTACATTTCTCTCAGAGGTAAGAAAAAAATAAACCCTATTTTTATATGTTGTCATGATTATTGGGAAGCCTTCAATAAATCTTTTCAAGTATTTGTTTTTGTTCAATAAGAGAAAATGTCATTGTATCATTTCTGATACAAGGCGCATATGGGCAACTTTTCTGCATCATATGTATGTGTATCGTTAATGATACAACATGGTAGTTTTCTGCCATTTTATGTTTTTTCATGCATTCAAATAGGTATGTTTAGTTATTATATATCTAGAAAAATGCATTCCTCATCAGATTAGCAGCTATGCATCTTCCAAATGCGTAATGTATGTAATAAATGTTGTTTCACCAGGTGATGCCGCATTATTTGTCTGAGAAGGAATTACTGGAGGCTCTCTTCTTTGATGCAAGTGACGATGACGAAACTTCTAGCCATGCTGACAACATCAATAACCCATCAGCCGCGTATATCTGTGATGTGGACTCTCTTGAATCATATTATGGATGTGAGAAAGTTATTTCTTTTGCGTTCGGCAATAAGCCAAAAATAAGGGTAAGTCTGCAAGTATGACGTCAGTTACTTACTTACGCAATTCCGTATATATTCAATTGATACAACCAAGTCATAGATTTTTATTCTATTTTACAGTGACAGCAATATAGTATATTTATATATTTGTGCATTATCAAGTAGGTAGTAAAGTTAATCCTCAATGAATAATACCTGTTTACAAATAGATGATTAATTTTCTCCTACAGTTATATTGTATTTTCAGACGGTGATGACTCTGCTAACACATATTCTGCAATCACAATTGTAGAAGACAACAGCCCATCTAAAATTCATAGTAACTGCACAATAACTGTGGAAGCCAGCTACAGCAGAAGTGAAACAAGTAAAGTTCGAAAAAAGAAGATCCAGAGGCAAGAGGCACAACTCAACACCACAACACAACACCGCAACACAGCGCAGAACAACCCAATACAACTGTAACAACACAACATAGAACAACACCACAACACAACGCAATACAACACTGAACAATACAGTACAACACAGAACAACACAATGCAACACAACACAGGAAAAAAAAAACACAAGGCTCAATGCTTCACGCTAGACAAGAGACTGCAACCTGATCTCAGGCAGCATAAGATGTTATGTGATGGCACCATGTAATATAGGAAGGGCACCTTTTGATAAGAAGAGCTTCATGTGATAACAGGGGCGTCATGTCATAAGAAGGGTGCCATGCGCTATGAAGGGTGCCATGTGATAAGATGGGTGCCTCGTGATATGAGAGTCTCTATGCAATATGACGGTTGCCATGCAATGATGCTATAAGAATGGCACCATGGGATCAAAAAGGCGCCATGTGATAAGAAGTGTGCTCTGCGATCATAAGGACGCCATGTGATAAAAATAGCGTCCTGCGATTAGAAGGTCGCCATGTGATAAAAAGAGCGTCACGTGATAAGAACGGTGCCATGTGATAATAGATAATTCTGATATGAAGAAACTCCATGTGATAAGTTGTGTCATGTGATAAGAATGGTAATGTAGCTCATCTGCCCCCTAAAGAAGCGAGACTGAATGGTGTGGCACACTGGCCCAAGCATGCTGATGACCGACAAAGATACAAAATACCTGGTTGTTATTCACTCTCCTATGTTATGTGCCAAAAGTGCGGTATTACCCTTTGTTTTAGAAAAAATAGCGAATGCTTCACCAAATTCCATAGTAACTAATATTTACCGCAAATGCGCCTTGTATCATATATGATACCGTAAAATGGGGTAAATTTGACCACTTTTTCATTTCGAAACAATGCCATTTTTTTACTAGATAAGTTAAACTTAAATTGAAACATGCAAAATACAGGTCTATACTCTAGCTTTACTCACCATAAATTGCTGGCTCCTGCCTCTCATAGTTTTGATGTAATTTCAAAAAAAGTGATGGTCTTTGTTACCCCAGCTCTTGGGGTTTCTTTGACCGGGTGGTAAAATCAATTTTATTTTTTGGTAAAATAACTCCAAATAATGCCAGGTTGTGGTGCATTGTAGTAGAACTCTTCTAGTTACATATGCAAAAGATAAATTTTAGAAAAGTGTCATAGTTTGCACATGGGGGGCACTGCCTCCCAATGGGCGAAATGTGATATAGGTGTTTCAAATATAAAATATGTTATATAGGTACCTATGGTAATTTTAACTTAATTTCAAAGCCGGTCAATGTTACCCTGTCACGGCTGCCATCAGGTGGTCAAAGTTCCCCCATTGTAGGGCGGCGCATCCCATTTGCAAACTATGACACTTTCCTAAAATTTGTCTTTTGCATATGTAACTAGAAAAGTTCTACTACAATACATCAAAACCTGGAGTTATTTTACCAAAAAATTGGAGGGGTACTCCAACAGGCTTTGAATAATAGCTCTTTTTTGTGGGTCACATTATTAATTTTTCAACCTATTAGATATGCAAACTTTTTAAATCTTTCTATTGTGTTACGTAGCCTCAGTATTAGGCCTTTGATGGCCATTGACAAAATTTTTCTATGTCAAATTGTTTTTGAGTTATGGAGGTTTTTGTAAAAAAAACAAAAAGTGGTCAAAGTTACCCTGCCGGACGCCGGTGCCGGTCAAAGTAACCCTATTTTACGGTAGTACAACCATTAATTTTATATAATAAAGAAAAAATTCAAACTTGATGCAATTTATGTGTATATTGACCCATTTCAAAATAGAATCACCATTGAAATATTTTTTTTTACCCTCCACTGTCCACATTAAATGCGTGTATTTAAGGGTTAAATAAATATGGCAACAGTTTGTGATGACAGTGACGTTTCATCATTGCTGGCAAGTAGTTTGGTGTTTTTAGAGTGACGTAAAGCAATGAGAACTCGAGTTGTGCATACGGTGATATTTTTATAGCCATTCATTTCTTGCTACGTCCTTAATGTGTCAGAATATACTGCGTTTACCCTATACAAGATATATGATGAAAAAAGCAAAAAACTAATGAAAATTTGGGTGCTTGAATGCTGTATTCACTTCTATCATTTATTTGTATTGCCTACACACACTGACACTGTAGTGACACACATAGTACGCCTTTAACCCAGAAAAACAAATTGAAATGTAAAAAAATGAAAGCTTAAGGGGAGCGGGAGCGGCTACCCTAAAATTTTGGATTTTGGCAAATTGGCTTTTCTGCTTTTTAGTCTCATCTTAAAGCTGACATTCTGGCCTATCCAATGCTACCAAAACCACCTCTGTATGTTGATTTATGCATTCACAACATATTGAGAAAGGGTTAGGAACTTAGGAGTGGTGGAGTTCTTGAACATTTAAGAAAGGCCAAAATTACCGGCAGTCCAATTAAATAGCTTGTCTGAACATGTTGTGCTTCAGTTATCCGCCTCAGGACCTCCTGCAGTTAGTTGTACAGGATAGTTATTAGCTCTCAGACTCATGCTGCCGCTCACACCATCCTTGACAGAATTGAGCTCCAGTATCACTATCATCTAGGCTTGCAACCTTGCACCCTTCAACATCTTTTTCGAGACGTGCAGTGAGTGCACAACTTTGTCCGGCTCTACTGAAAAGTTAACTTATTGTCACTGCAAACCTCTTACCTCCTACAGTTTTGAAGCTACAACAATGAGACATCTACTGTTTGACTTGCAAAAAAAATATATCTACCTACAATTCATAGTACCTACCTACCTTCATAATACCTTAGCTACCTATGCGTTACCTATTCTAATTTTGTTATAGTTCAGATTTGGATTCCGCAAAAAGGACAGTGTGGGGGGTAAAATAAAAAAATTTCCAAAAAATGCCCCACACCCACAAAAATGAGAATTTAAAAAAGCATGTACTATG